ATATTCCAATATTTTCATATGTTTCACAAGTTCTTTTTCCTAATTTAGAAAGTTACCCCTTTTCAAAAAATTACAAACAACAAAAGAAAAGTAACTTTATCACAACATAAAATAAAGTGAGCATAGAAGCAGAATTTAGTCAGAGAAGGTGGAAAACATTTGAACCTGAGGATCAATATGTTTAGTTTATAGAACCTACACTGAGAAAAGGCTGCTTTAGAGCAATGTCCTCTCAATATGGAGTGTGCCATGCACATGCTGGAGCTGAGGGCACATAGAAGGCAACTGTCTAGAGTATTGTGGGGAAGGAATAGAATTGAAGGCTTGAGTATAACACTGCATATTAAGATTGTTCCACTTCTGGGGCTGGAGAGATGGACAGCGGTTAAGAACACTGGTTGTTCTTGGGTTCAGCAATTAAGAGCATCCCAGCACCCACATGGTAGCTCACAACTGTCTGTAACTCCAGTTCCAGGGAATCTGATGCCCTCTTCTGGCCTCTGCAGACATTGCATGCATGTGGTACACTTACATACATGCAGGCAAAACACTCATAATTTTGTAATGAATAAAGTCAGTGATTTTTAAATGCCAACATAAGTGGGCTGGAGAGATGGTTCAGCAATTAAGAGCATCCCAGCACCCACATGGTAGCTCACAACTGTCTGTAACTCCAGTTCCAGGGAATCTGATGCCCTCTTCTGGCCTCTGCAGACATTGCATGCATGTGGTACACTTACATACATGCAGGCAAAACACTCATACCCATCAAGAATAAAAAAAATTAATTAAAATCAACATAAGTAATATAAAAAGAGACTTCTATTATCTCGCTTTCATTTGTGTTTTGTTTTGTTTTGTTTGTTTTGTTGAAATAGAATCTTACTCCGAAGCCCAGGCTGGCCTGGAACTCACTAAGTAGTCCAGGCTAGCCTTAACATGGCAATTCTTGAGTGCTGGGATTACACGTGTGAGCCACCATATCCAGCTTCATTCACTACCTATTGATCATAAATAAAAAAAGAAACAAAGCCCTTTCTTCACTCTGCTAGTTCTTCAGTGGCAGACCCCCTCCCCCACACTGCACACTCTTTGCTGTCACTGGATGTCCTTGCTCAACCCAGGCTCACTCCCTGCCCTCCTCCTCCTCTCTCCAGGATAAAAGGCGGAGGTGTGGCATGCTGCAGTCTCAGGAATCCAGCAGCTCAGTCTTCTACCACTCTCAAGAGGAGGGTCTTGACCCAGACAGTGGAAGCTCTGTCAAGAGCTTAGGGTCACCCTTCAACCCAAGACAGACAAAAGATGCCCAGTCATGGAGTGGAGACTCCACCGCCCACCACGGTTGGTCCTCTGCTTTCTGCTCGGCTCCCTTTTTCAAGGAGGCCATAATGATTGCTGCCTTATATTGAGCATTTACTGTGTGCTAAGCACTTGATTAAAGGCATCTTGGTGACTACTTAACATCTGCAGAGGTGGGTACCAAGATACCCATTAAGCAGATGAGGCAGACCTGCACAATTTAAGTAACTGGCTTGGTTCTTAGATGTTAAAGAGGTGGACAGTCTAGACTTGCTTGCCTTTGCTGTGTTCATTTCCTTTTTCAAAGAACATTTAGAGATTACTTGATAAGGCTAGTAATGGGCATAGTGTGGGAGGTGAGAATAGCCTCACCTCATACGTGACCTCCAAGATCTACCCATCTGGTCACGAAGACACAACTGACCTTAACTCTGATGACAAGGACCACAACTGAGGTACTCTGGGGAGAGAAAACCACATCTGCTCAAGAATATCGACAGACGTCCCATGAATACTGGTTCTTAGAAGTGGGAAGGGGAGGGGATTCCCAAGCAGAAAATGCTCAGGCAAAGGTGTGGGGGCAGGACACGTAGAAAGCATCCACCACTGTCTATTCATCTAGTCTACTTGGAGCACACCGTGGCTCTAAAAGAGAGCTGGGGAGATGGCTCAGTGGGTAAAGTGCTCACTGATTGAGAACCCAAGTTCAGATCCCCAGCACCATGTAAAAACCCAGTGCTGGGAAGAAGACAGAAGAATTCCAGCAGCCTGCAACAAATTGGTGAGCTCCAGGTTCAGTGAGAGATGCTGTCTCAGAAAATAAAGTGGAGGGCTGGGGAAATAGCTCCGTAGAAGTGCTTACCATACAAGTGAGAGGATCACTGTTCAAATCCCCAGAACTCATTACAAAGCTGAGAGAAAACAATTGAGGAAGACACTTGATGTCAGCTCCAGGGCCTAAACACACACACACACGCACGCACGCACGCACGCACGCTCGCACGCAAGCACACGAGGGAGACAACAGAACAGATAGTTGCTGGGAAGACAGAGCAGGGCTACATCTAGCAAGGCTTTGGGTACCAGAGGAGGCACCTGCACCTATCTCTGCAAGTGAACAAGGAACTTAAAACATTTCCAAGTCAGAAAGGGGCATGCAAACCCCTTTCCCCACTGCCCTCCACTCTGATAGCTCCATTCTCACTATCCTTACCCAGGCCTGAACCTCTCCCCAAGACGGAGGGCATATAGCACCAACCAGATCTCCAACCACAAGTCCTGCCCAAGGGCCACCACAGCCAGCGACCCCACTGCATCTTCCAGGAGATACCCACTGAGAAAAGCCAAGCTACAGGACCTTGCCAATCAGAGCAGCCCAGAGGTCCAACGGTGGCAGATTGACCTACAGGTACCCAAGGTGGGGTTGGGGGAGCTGGGAGAAGTCATGGCTGCAGGGGGCTGTGGTTCATAAATAACTACAAAGATGGGGCATTTATCACTTACCCAGGGATGTTGAGTATCAGGAAGAATGCAGACTCCAAACCTAGATGATGCCAACTCTCCTGATGGTGTTAGCTTCCACTGAAGACTGTTTACTGATGACCACTAAGACTAAGTCGGCACTGGCTTAGGTACTTTTGCTGGACCTTTGGCTCCCGACTTTCAATGGTACCCTCTTAATTATGATACTCAATGCTCAGTGAGCTCATCCATTCCCTGAAAACAGCACATTGCCATTTCCACAGGGCATCTGTACTGACTCATTGTAGTTGATGGCAGTCTGGGAGATGGGAGAGCTTGGGGACCAGCCACCCCGACTCAGTACAGATGTAGCAACTGAGGGCCATAGAGGTAAGGCGACTTACCCAGAGTCACACGGCCAGTCTAGGGGTTTGACTCAGGAAGCCCTGCCCTCAAGGGCCTTGCTTTCCCTTGCTAACACTGTTTCTCTGGATAGTCACCCAGAGCAGAGGATCTGAGAGTCAGAGTCACTGCAGGAAGGGTCACCTGTGCCCTGCTAGGACACAGCTCCTTAGCCTCAGCACCATGGGCATGGTGGAGCTTCTGTGAGTAGCTGTCCTGGGGTATGGTAGCATGTCCCCAAGGTGAGGGGACAAAATCATTCAGTTAAGACCACTATCCTAAACTAAATTGTGTTTGCAGCTATTTTCTTAAGGACAGATACCGTGTGAATTTGTCACGAGTCTGTGGCGCCATCAAAGCAGCCTTTCCCCAATGTGCTTCCCCATCTCCACATATGTGTGGACCACATACAGCCACCCATCCCTGGAGTCTCCCCTATGCTTATTCAGGGATCTCTTGATGCTCTTGGAGTCAGACACTCTTCCACACATATTCCTGAACCTCTATGATCCCCAACTGTGCATCTACGAAATGGGGTGAATACTGTGTGTGGATGGTTGAGCTACCATCCACCAGCAAATATATACGAAGAGCTGACACTAAGTGGAGAGGCTTCCAGGCCTTGGTGGATGTGAGATACAGTGGGGCCTGGAGCCTGGCACACAGCAGATGTTTTTTTCCAATGGCAGTTCCATTTGGTGAGAGCTCTGAGCAAGCTGGTTATCTTCTCTTAGCTTTACTCCTTAGCTCTTCTGGCCCATGTTGGTCCGTCTCTTCCCTCTTCCCCTTTTCCTTCCTGGCTTTCTCCCCAGCACACATATGCGTGTGTGTGTGTGTGTGTGTGTGTGTGTGTGTGTGTGTGTGTATGTATGTATGAACACAGAGATTCCCTGAAGCCTCTGGCTGGGTGAAAGGCCAGATCTTAGACTCTTCTGTTGCCATGGAAACTGTAGAAGATTCTATTTTTCTCTCTGACCCAGTGTGGGCAATGCTGAGCTCAGGAGTAAAGACTAGCCAGTCTCTGATGTGGGAGGGGGGCCAGGAGCCTTGACTGGGTACCTGCTCCCATAGAAGCATCCCAAAAGTGGCCAGTCTCCTCCTCCCACACCCTGAACTATCCCTGCGGCCTTGACTCAGATACAGGAACGCATCCCCTATTTTATGAGGATGCACACTACCTTCCTAATATACTTAATAGGATAAAAAGGCCCCCAAGGTTTGCTGATGACCCCCTAAATTCTATTAAGCCTGTTAAGTGCTTTTGTCTCCTCATCCCTTTCCCCTACGAGGACATATGTGTAATCTAAGAAACTTGAAATCCATTTTTAGCTTAGTAATCTTCCATTACAAAAGTAATAACATACTCAGCATTTGCAATTAAACCTTTCAAACAGTTGAGCTGGGTAATAAAGTTTCCCTCCCCAGTGCCAACACCCACTTGATTCTAAGTAGAAATAACACACACACACACACACACACACACACACACATACACATTCACATATGTACATAATGCATGTATGTTTTTTCAGTTTATTTTTATGTGTATGAGTGTTTTGCCCGCACATATATATATACATATACATATATATATGACCACAGATGCCAGAAGAGGGCGTCAGATCCCCCTGTAACTGGAGTTAGAGATGGGTGTTAACCATCATGTATGTACTGGAAACCAAACCTGAGTCCTCTGCAAGAGGAGCCAGTGCTCTTAACTGCTGAGCCATCTCTCCAGCCCCCACATGTATATTTTAATAGCTGTATATGCAAATTTCTCTCCAAGCTACTCCCTTAATACTTTTTAAAATAGGTTTTTATTACAGTTACTTATTTACTTTGTGTATGAGGGTGGAGTGGGTGAGTGGGTGTGCATGCTCCCTTTTACCATGTGAATTCAATTCGGGTTACCAGGTTTGGTAACAAGTGCTTTTACCCACTGAGCCATCTCACTGGCCTTCTTAATGCCTTTTAAGTTAATTCTTATGAACATTAATTCATTCTTTCTGATGAACAGTTCATGAGGTTTGACAATCACATATGGTCATTCACTCTTTTACATCATTAAGACACAGAACAGATGTAGTTTAATCTTGAAGGGTAAATTTTTGTCCTGGGTATAGTCTCATACTGGTGTGAAGAAATCCTTCTATTTAGTATTGTGTGGTACTCCATCAATGAATGTACCATTGGCTGGTGGATTTTATTCACTACTACATGGCTATTTGATCCACAAATGTGTAGCAGTTTCCACTCCCTCATACAGTCCATGAGAGACCCTGTTTCCCCATGGACCACACTGGACGTCATCAAACATTAGATAGTTGCCAGTTAGAAAAATGGAAGAAAAAAAAACAACCTGAGACTTGTTTTAGTTTTCATTACTCTTGTTTTTTTTTTTTTTTTTTCTAGAGCTTACTGGATATTTTCACTACAAACTGCTTGCCAATGCCCCCACCATCCAACTATCTTTCCCCTCCAATCATATACAAGAGCATTTTCTTTAAAAATGTCCTTTGTCATGTAAATATATTTCCCCACTCACCCCTTGGTGTTTGATGGTTGCTTGTATCTAGCCCAAGAATAGTTAGATTAAATCATCAAAACAGATCAGAAAGCCCGCAAACAAAGCCAGAAGTGGAGGGAAGTTACAGGGATAGAGAAGAAAGCTGATAAACCACGGAGAGTCAATGGATACACTGTATTCAGTAAACAGTGATGAGGTTTGTGCCATTTGGAAAATCAAAGAAAAGCTGGTTCCTATCTCCTTAGAGTAAAATAAACTGCATCTGAGTCAAAGACCTGAACACACAAACAAAAATAATGAAAACTCTAG